CCAAATGCCCTGGAACTCCTTTGACATTTCTTGTTAGTATCTCAGTCTCATTTTGCTTTTGAAAACCCTGACATTTTGGGAGGAGTCCAAATAAAGTATTTTATGTTATGGCCCCTAACGGGGCTTTGTCTTAGATTTTTCTTTCCCCATGATTAAGTTGAAACTGGAGCTTTTAAATATATTTTTCTTCGTTTCTTAAATCCTTCATTCCATAAATAATAATTTGAATGGCCATTTAATATCTCCCTCAGTCTGGTTAAGATTGAAATATCTAACCGTGTCCCAGCAGCAGCCAATTTAAGTTAATGTTTCTAAGGGAATTGCCAATCCCCAGGAGCTCTGAAATTAAGCCATTCTCTCACATACTCTCATACATGAAAAGTCACAATAACAATTTTAGTCCAGTGATCCTCAAAAATAACACAGCATCAAATAAACAGTTGAGGCAATTAAAATACCTAACTTTGTAGGGAGTTATTTTTAGTAAGGTTCCTTTTATTCTCACAAAGAAATTAAATTATATATATCTCTGATAATGTTCATGGATTGAGGGAAAAACAATAACTCAAAGTTATTTTTCAAGTGCCTTTAGAGATTAAAGATGGTCTTGAACTATGAAAGAAAGCATTATCCATCCGCAATTAGCCATCTTGAATTTATAATACTTTTCTAAGTTTTTTAAGTTTAGTAAATAAGTAAAAATCAGCAATTTTTCCAGTGAAAGGAAGAAAATTAACCCCATTTATAAGGCTACCATATCAGAAGCAGGCCATTGTTTTTCTCATTAGATGATGAACAAAATCCATAGGTCTCCTGGGTTTTTACTGTATAGGAGTGTTTTGTCTTCATGTATGTCTATGCATCACTCACAGGCCCAGTCCAATGAAGGCCAGAGGACGACAGTGGATTCCCTGGGACTGAAGTTACAGACCACTGTGAGCTGCCATGTGGGAGTTGCAGCCAGTGCTCTTAATTACTTAGCCATCTCTCCAGTTCCCGGAGTCTTGGATTTCATCCAAACTTTTATGATGTATTTTAATAAATACACACTAAGTTGTTATTTGTCTGTAATCCTAAATACAAAGGTAATAAGGGAAAACACTCAACACAAGCTCTGTGCTCACTCCAGGGGGAAATGTGTCCTGAGATGACCTTGGAAAGGCAAACTACACTTAACCTGATGGAGGTGAGGTGGAGAATACATAGCCAGGCAGATACACAGGCCTAGAACAGGAAGGCATACTGACTCACTGCAAAAATAACTAGACCTGTTGCTGTGAAGACTGCAGTGGCTAATTTTAAAATACTTGACAGAAATGAGACAAAATCTACTAAGAAATATAATGTACGGAAACACATTTCTAAGGACTTAGGACATCCTGAGACTCAAGTCCCTGTGGTCTCCTCTAAGGGCTCAATAAGCATGTCACAGACAAATGGGGGTGGTAACAGCATGAGCCAGGCCTTTATTTGACCATCTTTCACTTTGAAAGATAGATAAAAATTTGCAAGGAAAATGCAAGAGTAAATGCTTTGCCAAGGAGGGTACAGGTGAGAGCAGCCTCTTAGCAATGTTCACTCAGGCAGCCCCACAAAAGTTCTGTCAAAAAAAGTCAAAATTCAACCATCATTACTGCAGTAGAAACATGTGACAGGAGAGCTGCCCTTCTGAAGGTGTAAGATTACAGCATTTCCTCTCCTTGAAGCTACTGGGAATGCATATTTCTCAGGGTGCGGTGCCTGACACTGATCTCAGTGTTCACTGCTGAATCTGTGGGAGCAGCAATCTAGGGAATGACAGGAGAGGAGAGAATTTCCTTTCTTGAGGTGCCTCACTACTAGCTGTCCTCTCTGTATGGGACTGTTTCTTTGCCAATTGAAACAAACAAATAACAAAAAACAAAAGCAAATAACCAAGCCTTAAAATTGAGGCTTCACCCTCAAAGAAGATTAAAGGCAATGGTTCTCAACCTTCCTAATGCTTTGATCCTTTAGTATAGTTCCTCATGTTGTAGTGACCCCCAACCATTATTTTTGTTGCTACTTCATAACTATAATTTTGCTTCTGTTATGAATTGTAATGTAAATATCTGATATGCAAAATATTTGATATGTGACATCACGACCCACAGGTTAAGAACCACTTTAAGAACATAACATTTCTGAGCAGTGATTAAAGTAAGGACTTATAAAAAAGGTTAATTAAGAGAGTGATGAAAACCACGAGCCTTGAATAGTGGCACATGCCTGTGATCCCAGCACCTGGGAGCTGGAAGCAGAAAGATCCGAATTCAAGAAATATGTGGTGGAAAGAAAGAAAGGAGAAAGAAAGAGAGAGAGGAAGGAGGAATACAAGTTGTATCTAGTCCAACCATTCACCTAATAAATGAAAGAAAATGTCAGACTCCAAAATATGACAAAAATAAAAACAGCATTAAAAAATGACTTAGCAGTTTTCCCTGAGAACCTCACAATCAACTTGGAGGAATTATTATACCTGTTGAGAGCTGATATTTATAGGTTGTTTTAAAACAATCCATGTGACACTCTCAAGGAGAGGTGGAACTGTCAGAGAACCAGGGTATGTCCAGTAGTCCCAGGATTGTGGAAGCAGGGATAATGGGTCAAAATTTGTGAATCGTGTTTGTTTACCCTGAGAAAATAAAGAGAATTGATACAGATTACAAATTACACACACAGGTGCACACATATTCAACTTCTGTGTGATTACTATCATCCATTAATATTTTAGTAAAACACATTTCTGCCTTAATCCAAAAAGGATCAGATAAAGTAACAAATTCTATGGACTTATTTAAGAAGGATAAGAGTCAGGCACGTGCCTATACCCTAGCAATCAAGAGGTAGAGCAGGAGGATCATGAGTTCAAGCTTAGCCTGGGCTTTAAAGAGACTAATAGGCAACTATGAAATATGTAGAGATATCCCAGGTCAAGAAAAACTACATCTTATATAAGCAGTCTTTTAAATAATTTATAAGTCTCATTTATAAAATTATAGTATTAACTTAAATCTGTATAGATTTACTGATAATTATTTTAGATAATGTCAGGCTCTTTACAACTTTAAAAAGATAAGTGACAGTAAACTTTTTCATTTTTGGTTTTGGTCTGGTAAGTCGACTCTTCCTTCAAAGAAAGCAGGATATGCTATGTCTAATGTGTAAGATTTCAAAAGAAGCCAAAAGAATTCAGGAGCAAAGCAAGGTGTTAGTCATTAACAAGCAGTAATTAGTTTTACCTTTTCCTTAATGGAATCCAAAATGTCAGTGATCTTTTGTAGTTGGGGATTGTGTTCCCCAATCTAAAAATGTAAAATTCCAAAACAGAAATAGTTACAGTAGCAAATCAGCACAAGCATTCCATTTCAGTCCTTAAGTCTTAATTACTTTCTAAAAGCGAGAGCCAGCTCAAGCCTACAGTGACTGTCCTAGAACAAAGGTTCTCTTCTACTTGACAAGTTGATTATGCCAGAAGAATCTGAACAAGATGTTACGGGTATCCCAGACTACACCTACAGTCTGGTTCCAAAGCTTGGAGTAATAGCTTCGCATGCTTCAGACACTTTGCAAAAGATTTGTTTTTATTTTTATTTCATTTATTTTTGTGTATGTGTATATGGGTGTCAGTCATGTATATGTCCAAGAAGTCTAGAAGAGGGTGTCAAATTCTCTGGAGCTGGAGTTACAGGCCCTGGTAAGCAATCTGACTAAGGGCTTAACTCTGGTCGCCTGGAAGATCATCGAAGACTCTCAACTGCTGAGCCACATTTAAGATACAGGTTAACTTGAGAGAAAGCCTGTTTAGGAAAGTGGATGATGATTAACAGCTGTGACATTCTTCGGATCCAGACTGACTAGGCTACTACCAAATCTTTCATGAAATCTTTGATCTCCCACTTGTAGCCTAAGGTTACTCGAAGTATGGGATCAAGGGGCTTTACCCTGAAGACACATGCTTCCTAAATACAAATGTATAAAACATATGCCTTTCACTAATAGGAGTGTTTTCAATCTACCTAAAGGTTTAAACCCTGTAAGATTTGAGCACCTCTCTTGCCTTACCCGTATCCTGTTGCCACCACTTAGAGTTCATGGAAAAGTCCTGGCTGTTCCCAACATCACTCCCAGTCTCTGCCTCTCAGTCCCACCCTGGCTCCACAAGTTACAACATCACACTGATAATGAGGCATGGAAAAACTAGCACGCCCTAAAGAAACTGTCCCCAGGCATGATGACAGGACTTGCCTGTCCCCATGCAAATATCAGAAAAGGAGAAGCTGGAGACTTTTTTTCCAAGACAATTGTTCAGCATGTTTGAGATGATTTGCCAGTATGGTCAAATATGAGCTTGAAGAATCATGAGCTTGAATTTTCCGATGTTCTAGGTATCTAAATGTTGAAGTCAGGAACCAGATGAGTCTAGATTTCTACTTGGGGTTTCAGCTGTTACTTCTGCTGCTATTCTTGCTGATGCATCACTTGCTACTCACATAAAATCCTCAACTGGTAATACGGAAAAATAATTAGATACTGTTTCCAAACTATTATGGAACTTTTTACAGTTCACTGCAAAAGGAAAATACTAAATTTAGAATTCGTTTGCTATCTAAATAAAGCCAGTTGAAAGCTATTTAGAACCAGTTTGCTCTTTAAAACTATTAAAGTGCAATAGCAGTTTCTCACCTGTAGAAATACTCCCAGGACAGCCAGTCCATCTGACTCATGAGCTGCCTCTACAAAGCTGGGGTATTTGTCTGAATTCCAGTGGACAACATGGAGCTAAAAAGAAAGCAGACAACATAATTCAAACATTCCCAAAAGCATGACAAAAGATGTAAATGCAAATGAAACACTGCTATAACTGTCTGGTGCTGGGGCCTCAAATGGGTAAGGAATCTGTAGTAGTCTGAATGTAATTGGTCCCCATAAGCCCATAAGAAGTGGTACTGTTAGGAGGTGTGGCTTTGGTGGAGTAGGTGTGGCCTTGTTGGAGGAAGTATGTCTCTCTGGGAGTAGGCTTTGAGGTCTCCTATGCTCAAGCTACACCCAGTAAAACAGTTCACTTCCTGTTGCTTGGGGATCAAGATGTAGAACTCTCAGCTCTATCTCCAGCACCATGTCTGCCTGCATACCACTATGCCCCACCATGATGATAATAGACCAAACCTTTGAAACTGCAAGGTAACCCAATTAAATGTTTTCCTTTATACGAGTTGCCATGGCCATGGTGTCTCTTCACAGAAACAGAAACCCTAAATAAGACAGAATTCTTTATCCTCCAAATATACTCATATAAAATGCAACCAGAAGGATTGCAGCGTCCTGCCTATCTCTGGTAAACTATTTGAAAGTTCATTTACTATGTCCTGAATGTTCTTCCCAGTTTCTTCAGTCCTATTGCACTCCCAATATTGTTCTTATGGGACCTGGAACCTCTGTCCCTCACTGAAGTTACTGCAAATGAGCAGGAGTGGGTCAGATACCAGCTCCCAATGGGGTTCACCGAGGTGCCTGGGCTCTACAGGTACAGGAAATCAACTTTTTATAAAGTGGCTGCTGATGATAACAAGGTTGATTCTGAAACTGACCTGTCATATATTTTTCATTGTAGTCTCCAATTTTTGTTGTTGGGAAATGCAAATTCTCCTTACTATAAACTATTGTAGACCTAGTCTTGTTTTTATTTGTACTGTTAAATGATAGTTACATACATTTGTGGGGTACCATGTAGTGTTATGATGTAGAGATACAATATTTCCATGGTCATATTGAGCTGACTGGAATAGGCAGCTTACATTTACTACCTTATATAAATATTTTCAGATCCTTTGCCAAGAGCAAGTTGCCATGGGGAAAAGGAGGCTTTGGGTCAAAGAATCACAGGTGTCTGAACATGAAGAAAGAAGCAGTTAGTATTAGGAGAAAGGGAGAGAGGTTTGAGAACTTGAGACTCTTGGAAAGGCTCTGCCTACTTTACAACTTAATTCTCATATAAGCAGACATTTGCAAAAGTCTACATGTCAGAGCATGAGTATCCAGAACACAGAAGAATAAAAAAAAGAATTTGCAGAATAACCAAGCTGACAACCACTTCAGTTCTTCTTGAGAGAAGGACAGAGAGAAGCCAAAGTGCATTATGCCATGCCCAGAAGATTTAGTTCCTATCATAAATGTTGAAGACCAGCCCATGTCATTACAGGCTAGGACCTGATGATACCAGGGACCACCTTAGATAAGAATCCTTAGGGATCTGCTTGTCGATTCAGGAAGGGAGCACTCATTCAGCCTTCATGCTCATATCACCCTCACAGCCAATTGTCACAGAGAGAATTTGGCATATTCAAATGCATACTTTTATCCCCATCCTTCAAATTAAACTCCACATCTTATAGGCAACTAATATGAAGAGTTTCTGATTAGATAAAAATTATCACACACACTCAACTATAAAACTATAAAGTAGTGCAACAACCATGTGTAATCAAAGGAAACAAAGGGATATCCTGAAAGACACATATGGAAGTGGATTCTATACCACATTTCTAGTTGGTGTGAGATAGTAGAGGGAAGGAAGAATCCTGAAAATACTGGATGTTGAAACAGGTTCACATGGCTCAGGAGAGATAAAGAACGTTCCACTGTGGGGATGGGCCGTTGAGGTGCTAAAGTTGTTTCAAATGGCTCAATGCCAATTACAACAACTCCTTAAATAGCTCGCTTAGTGAGAAATGGCATCAAAGAGTCAAGAACACAACTGGTTAGAAAATGGGTGTGTAAATACAAAGAAAGAAATCTCCTATGTATACACCCTTCTGCTGACTAAACAACAACTGTTTGAAATATGATAAGAAACCAGAGCAAGAAAATCTGATTTTTAAAAAAGGCCTCTTCTCCCCCATATGACCTTATAATACCTCTACAAAGCAACTGGTATGACTTTCATATTTTGGCTTTTTTCCCCCACATTAAAAGTAAACAAATTAACATCCTCTTACTCCCTGACTAACAGGGATGTTGATTAGGGATGAATGACAGGTAATTAGCCCCCACAATAATCAGATTAAAATTCTTCCCACAGGGTGTAGTAGCACACACCTTTAATTCCAACATTTGAGCCCCAGCAGAGGCAGGTAGATTTCTATGAGTTTGAGGTCACTCTAGTCTATACAGTGAGTCCCAGGCCAGCCAGAGGCTCTTTAAGAAAACAAAAAGATTCTTACTTATTGGTAAAATTATTTCTAAATATATTACTTAACTTTAGTGCTTTTAAGATGAACATTTGTAATATGCAAAATATGCTGCCAAGTAGCATGACAAAAATCTACCATTAATGTGGAAACCTGATTTGTGCTTCCCCTACCTCAAGGTGTTAGCTTTTCATCTGTCCTGAAGTCATCCCTTTTTAAAAAGCCAAAGTTTATTCAGGCTCACAGCCTCAAGGGACTCAGTACACCATCAGTTAGCCCCTGGCTTTTTAATCTATGGCAAAGTAGCATATCTCAGCTGGAGTGCCTGGCAGAGCAAAACTGGTCACCTCATGGCAAGGAATCAGAAAGTCAAGCAAAGGGGTAAGGTCCCACTATGCCCCTCAAGAGCACACTGGTAATGACCCAAGGACTTCCTCTGAGGCCACTCCTCTCAAAGGTTCATCAGCCTCCCAATAACTCTACCCTGGGGAGGAAACTTTTCAATAAGTGGGCTTGTGGGGGATAGTTCATATCAAATATAATAATGATGGATGAACAATTACCAAATATAGTTTCCAACACAGACTATTAACCTATACTTTATATATCCATGAGAATGAATCCGTTACTTTTCTGTTGCTATGATCCATGACCAAGGCTACTTAGAGAAAAAAAAAAAGAGTTTATTTGATTTGGGCCTGGGGCTCCAGAGAGTTAGTGTCTATGATTGTAGAGAAATGCGGCAAGCTGCTTCTAGGCATGGTGGCTGGAGCAGCAAGCTGAGAGCTCATATCTAGAACTATAAGCACAAAGCAGAAAGAGAAAACACTGAATATGGCAAGAGTCTTTGAAACATCAAAGCCTGCCCTCAGTGACATTATTTTCCCCAGCAAGGCCGAACCTCCTAGACTTCCCCGAAGAGCATCATCAATAGGGGACCAAGTGCTCAAATACATGAGCCTATGAGGGCATTCTCATTCAAACCAGCACTATATGTGTTGGCACAAACTTTTTCATGATGAGATTTCTTTAACCTGTCTATAATGCCACAAATCATAGTTGAGGCATTACATTATCATGTGTTGTGATTTATACGTCTGTTTTCTTTTTTTTTTGTTGTTGTTGTTGTTGTTGAAAATGCCAGGTACACATTTTCATAATGGCACATAATTTGATTACAGCTATGTTCTTAAGCAAGGGTGTCTAGAAGAGCTAATAACACATTGGAGCCATCTCCAGAGCTGAGAAGGAAGGGATTTTCTGAATTTTAGGCCAAATGTGACAGTTTCCCATACATTAGCATTTCCAGCACTGACATCCTCTTTAAAGTCCAGGTTTGTATCTACAGGCCGCTGAAGCTCACTATTCTTGCAATAGGCAAGCACCACTGACATGGTCCTCCAAGTATATCATAGACCGCACTAGTGTCTTCTCACTCCTGCTTAAATGATCGCTGTTCACCTCAACTCTTCCGTAGTCTTGTGCTTTGTTTCCCTTCTTCAACATTTGCCCCACAACAGCCTGTTCTCCACTTGGCAGTCAGATACATTTTAGAAAATAGAAAGCAGAACAGGTCAGTGCTATGCAGGTCAGGGTCCTCCCCCTTTTCTCTCTTACCAATCCCAGTCCTGGAAAGCGAAGCCTTTCTCTTCCTTAGCATGCTGACCTCATTCCTACCTCACAGCACTTTTCTCTGCTATGGCCTTTCCCTGGAAAGCACTGTAAGTCAAGATTTTTCTCACAGTGCTTTCTCCTTGTCCTTTTGTCTCAACTTACATACCCTCACAAAGAAGCCTTTCCTAACCCCACAGCCACTCTTCAGATCATATGCTATCATTTATGCCAGAGAATTCTCCACCTATCAGTTCACTCCTCTCCCCAGAGGACAGGGCATGTACTGCAACACAAAACACTGGCAAAATGGACACATTAGATGCCAGCCTCAGAGGCCAGGTACACATTCAAACAAATATGGAAACTGGAAAAGAAGTTCCATTTGCTGGTTTTTCTGAACAGTGTTATCCTAGGTGTCTTACCAAGCCTGGAAACATTAAAAGCTTAAGGATGTACATGGTAACTAACTGCTCAATCTTGCCTAGATGATTCACAGGCCAAGGTCGGTTTACTCAAATAGACTTTTTTGAGTCATGCAAGACTTGGCTTTCATTTCTCAGTAAAGTTCAGTGCTATTTGATGGTATTAAGATGAGGTATATCACACTCTGTATTTTAAGCAGAGGATTTAGTCATAGCGTTGGTAATAAATGTAGTTTTTACAAAAAGGACTACCTCATCAAAGAAAGGGGAACAAGACAATGGATCATTAATTTTGTGCTTGAAAGGAATAGTATCAGCTCAGGACCCCAGACCAAGTTCTCAGCACAAAGGAGATTTATTTGCCCCAGAGGGACAAAGAGCAGGGAAGAAGAGACAAAGACAGGAGATAGAGGATGAGGGGGAAGGGGATGGGAACAAGAGAGAGGGAGAAGGGATATTTGTCTTGAAGAGACAAAGGACTGCCTCCGGAGACAGATGTGGCCCATAGGAAAATGGCATTTATAAGGGTAAAGGGGGGAAATCCCCTGTTAGAATGAAGTGTCTAATTTTCATTGGGCATGTTAATTAGGTGAGCCAAAGGGGGCCTTTGGTTGCTGGGCTTCAATACTATAATAGCTGGACCTTGGCAGTCAGCTTCAGGAGGAGTCAAGACCCACTGGCATGACCTTCCAAAACAGAAGGAAGAAGTAACCAAATAAAGGAATAGACCTTAGTGGCGAGCTTTAAGGATGTTATCTAATGGTTTTTAGCAAGGCAAAGGAATTGGGAAGAAGGGCAAGGCCTGCCAGAGCCACGTATGCCATGTTGGAGCTGACCAGTGTCCCCTCAGTGCTGTTCATCCATGTTCTGTACAGTGAGCAGAGGCTGCATTAGATTCCTGCAAATGCAATCTGAAGTTCATGTTCCTACAGCTTAATCTTAAGCACCATAGTTGCTATATATGGAATGTGAGCTGGATTCATGGATGATTTATGTCTGTGTCAAATATGCACAGAGCTGAACATAATACAGATGTTTCTCTTCTCTCTGGCCCTGCAGGAAAATCCAACAGATGAAGTTTAATGTCACATGACTTGGGTTTTGAATAAAGGAAATCACAATGATTCCTCAATTGATAACTCTCTCTTTCCCAGTAAGTCTCCAATTTACACACACACACCCCAACAAACACACTTCTTGTTATTTTTTGTGTTATTGCTGTTTGGTTTGGTTTTGTCAGATAGAATCTTGTCATATATCCTAGGCTGCTGACCTGGAAGTCCTGATCCTCCTGCCTCGACCTCCCCAGTGCTGGGATTATAGACATACAACACCATATTAAGCTCAGTTTACTCTTTTCTGAATATATAACCAACACTAAGCTCTCAGAGTTGGTTTAAGGCTATGAAAGGTCATAGTTGGAGCTCTCCTGTTAGGTGAGCAATGCTGTCTCAGACACAGGTGTCTAAGCAGTTGAGGAACTACTAGGGCTATGGAAGGCTTCCCCTATGGAATAGGCTGTGTGTACAGCTTACCTCTGCAGCATATCTCACTCCATCTACCACGTGCTCAGAGCCGTGGTCATCTGCTGACCCCCAGTGCAGGTGGAACCGCGGCCACCTGTAGCTTCCAGTGAGAGGACCTCCACGCAGAACTAAATACCAACACATTTTAAATGGTTAGCAAGAAAACCAACATTTACCCATCCCATCAAAACCCCGTAACTTCTCCCTGAACCACTAAACACATTTCTGTCTTTAAAATTTGTTCAGTTTGCATTCATAGATCCAACTTTACATATAAAAAGAATGAAAACAAACACCATGTAGATTTTTTTGTGGAATGCTTGGCAAGTCACAGCACACCCACAGAGAGCAAAGAGAAAAGATTAGAATTCTCCAAAGTGAAAATCTGCTCTGTTTAACTGAAAGCAAGCCAGATTCTCTGAATAAGAATATGAAATGCAAAAAGGGTTCCTTGTGAGCTTGGAAGAACCCAACAGCTTATATGATTCGATATAGGCTCTGCAGGATGTATGGATGGCCAGGGTCTGAACTTTCTATATCTGCATGGTCTTGAACAAAACCTAACTTCTAATCTGTGACTTATTCATCTAGCTACTGGAGAGAGTGACACAATCTCCCTAAGAACACTGTGCAAATAGAAGAAACATGGTAAGCAAGACACTTTCCAAGGCCTGGCACACAACAATACTGGGGATGTGTTACCCACTGCTACCATGGTATGGCTGTTGCTATAACCATAAAGAGTGGCTCACCTTCTGTGCTTGGAGTCTGTATTTGTGAAGAAACATAAAATATAGGAAGAAATTAAAGTATTTTTTAAAACTCCAAGATGTCTTTGTAACTTTGATGAAGTATATTTTAGTGTTTTCCTTCAGCAAATATAATCTCTAAGATTATGTTAATAAAATTATATCAAAAGTATATAGAAACACACTACAAAGCAGTCCTAAACTAGGCACAGGGGCACACACCTGTAATCTTGGCACCCTGGGCTATCCAGTGAGTTTAAAGCTAGCCTGTGTGACAAACTAAAGAAAAAGAAAAGAAGGGAGGAAGGAAAGAAAGGGAGAGGAATGAAGGGGAACAGAAGAGAGTTGTAAACTATTTCTGCCTAATTCTGTTGTATGCTGCAGATATAGGGACAGAAAGGAAATGCTGCATGTTAAATACACTATAAACTTCACTAAACACCACCACATACAGGAAGATTGTGTCAGACTGGGGAAACAAAGACTTAGCAACAGATATCAGAGAGTATATGAGTGATGTATGTGCACCATCAGACGAGATGCACATGTGTGATGAATAAATGAATAAGATATTTGATTTGTCTTTAAATCGATTCACTGTGATTCCCCTAAGTGACATCAGTCATATATTCCACACAGCCCTGCACTGACTGAGGATGGAATGGCACCTGAAGGAAAGTAGTCAAGGGCTCTATTGTGCTTTTCTTCCTTGCTGTTGCATAACAAAATCTGAGCTGGCCAAACAGTCATTCGCTTGCTGATAGAAAGGAGATTAGAGAGCTTGAGTAATCAATGTGGAATTGACTTTGGGAGAAGACTCAGGCAAGCTGGCTCTGGAGAAAGAAAGTGATACAAACAACATACATTGTTAGGGAGACATCCAAGAACAATGGCTGTAGAGGTTACAGTTAAAGTCAGGTTAGCCGACTTTGCTTGGCTAAGCAGTGGGGATTGTTTTACCGGTTACATATTCAGACTGCACAGGTCAGTATTTCAGTAAAATATCCAAGTGAATTCATAATAAGCAAACGCCTAATTGTGGGGAAGACTATTCTTTTGAATGGGAGTCTTCCAAAAAATCAGGTAAGGAAAAGTGAGCTTAAAATATCTAGGTTTAGCCAGGTGGTGGTAGTGTGCACGTCTTTAATCCTAGGACTTGGGAGGCAGGAGCAGATGGATCTCTGAGTTCAAGGTCAGCCTGGTCTACAGAGAGAGTTCCAGGACAGCCAGAGAAACCCTGTCTTGAAAAACAAACCCAAACAAACAAACAAACCCTATATCCTTAGGGTCTGTAATAAAACAGCTAAACTGTGGTACAAGATTAATAGTGACAATTTCTTTTTAGCTTTCTTTGTGGGAGGGTGAGACGAGACAGGGTTTCTCTATGCAGCCCTGGCAGTCCTGGAACTCAGATCCACCTGCTTCTGCCTCCTGAGTTCTGGGATTAAAAGCATGCACCACCACTGCTTCTTTTTGACTTTTTAGACAGGCTGGCTTGCTACCCTCCTACTTCAGCCTCATTGTCAGAAAGTTCAAGAATGGTCTTAATGATTACCTGGCCCTGCCTTGATGTAAGGGGAGGAGCTTGGTCCTGCCTCAACTTGATGGGCCATGCTTTATGTAAGCCCATGGGAGGCTATCCGCTTCTAAATGGAGATGGAGGAGTAGTGGTTAGGGAGGGAGGTAGATAGCAAAAAGGGAGGGGACAGGAGGAGAGGTTGGAGGGCAAACTGGTTGGTATGTAAAATAAATGAAATAAAAGTTATTTAAATAAAAATTATCAGATGTCATAAAGAATGGAGCCATGTGAGAAGTCTGAGTGCTTGTGAGAAAACTCTAAGGAAATAAGATATGTTTTGTGACCTCAATTTTTTCAAAAACATAGAATTGTTCTTGGAACATGTTGTTGTGCTCCTCCTGGAAGTAGCAGTCATTGCTTGCTGCCCAGATCCTCTATATGCCTCTATGGAAAAACAGGTTTTTGCTACGTGAGACTTGCCCACCACATGAGACTTGCCCTTCCCACTGGACATTTTACTCATGTTACTCCTCTTAACCTTCAGAGAATAAATTGTCTGCTGCTTTGAATAATGTTGGCTACCACATGAGATTTTAGTCCACCTCATTTATTGGCTCCATTCTCCCAGGTTCCATGGACAACTAGACTGATAAACACCTCACAAGGGAAGGAATTTGCAGGTATGCTGCACAATGGTGGGATACCATCTCAGATGAGCAAATAATAAACTATTGCCTCTTGCTGGAGAGATGGCTTAGAGGTTAAGAGTACTGACTGCTCTTCCACAGGTCCTGAGTTCAAGTCCCAGCAACCACATGGTGGCTCATAGCCACATATAATGAGATCTGATGCCCTCTTCTGATGTGCAGGCATACATGGAGGCAGAATACTATACACATAATAAATGAATAAATAAATCTTTTAAAAATAAGACATAAGCTAGTGTCTCTATTTTATTTCTTAAAACAAGTAATGATTTCTCCAAAGTTATACCTGCTATTATTTGCTTTCATTTAGAATTTCCAAAAAGAAATCTCTTACAAATAAAACACTAATGTAAGAGGTCAAGAGATGCCAACCTGGCAGTTATAACAGTTTGGAAAGCTCTGGATGAAGTTATCCCAGAACACCACAGGAGCCACCCGTGAAATACTATAAAATACTATATATTGAATACTATAAAATACTATATATTGAAATACTATAAAAGTATCCTGTTATAAATGTGCAACTTGATAATTAGAAGTTTTGGGCTGCTTTTCCAAACTTCTCAGTACACCAAGCACACCTATTGTGTAAGCCTGGAGGAAATAAAGTTGAATACATATAAGGCATGTTTTCCCTTTCTGTTTCACATAAAAAGGAACATCAAATTCATTTTTCTTTATTTTTTTCTGCAGGTCTCCAGAAAGATATCACTGTGATGATCTGATAAATGTGAAGAAAACGCTTGTATAAGCTTACATTGTTTTACTAACAACAATGCTTTCTACAAAAGTAGGATATTATGATTTCCATTGAAAGTTGATGAATGTAATGATTAAATATTTTAAATCCTTAATGGGGAGCTAATGACAGGTCTCAGGGGATAAAGGTGCTTGTCAGGCAAGCCTAATGACCTGAGTTCAATCCTTGGAGCCTACACTAAACACATAAGTACATTCATTATATAGGTGCATGCAAACATGAATGACAGGAAAGTTTTCACATATTTCCACTTGGATATATATCTTTAACACAGTATCATCTATACTTGGTAGCAGATAGGCTTAAAGAGTATTAAATATTCATTTTAAGTAAATAGTATTTTATTCTCCCTTTAGGTAATAAGCTGACAAGTGAATTAAATTTTTACTTTGTGAGTCCACAATTCATGTTGTGAAGGATATGACCCATGAACAAATTAAATATAATTTTTACTACAAGTAATGAAAAATTTAACGATAGATGCTTCAAGTGTTTCTATTTTTAAATTAAATCTCTACTTTCCTTCCTTCTTAAATGTCCATTATTAGGATAATAATCTATAAATTATGATAAAAGAGTAGTTGATATATCTTATCTATTATCGAGGGTGTTAGAGCAATACATTTTAATAGAAAAAATGGATAAAATATTTTGATAGGAAAAATTTTCTGAGTAATATAACATTAGTCTGAACATAATTTAAAAAGCAAGCGTAAAATAATATGACATGCCTGTCTATACATGTGTGGCTTTAAATATATATATATATACACTTAAATGTTGAGGAAGAGTGTCACACTGCTTACATAATAATAAACTGTAAGGATAGACAATTTTATCCTACATTTCTGTATGTCATTTACTATACATACATATTATGATTGCAAGCACAAAAAAAAATTTAAAAAGCAAATCTCTTAGTACTATAGGTTTACCATAATTAGTAAAACAATCCTGACCAAACACTTTCCAGAAACAGGGGACTAGACAAATGACTCAACAGTTGAGGTTAAGAGTATTTGTTGTCACTGTACAGAGGACCTAGGTTCAATTCCCAGCACCCACATGGGGACTCACGGCCATCATAACTTCTAGAAATCGCCACAGTACACATTCTTACATATAAACAAATAAATCTAAAACAATTTAAAATTTCCAGAAAAAAGCATTAAAATCACTTATGAAATACTATTAAACGTCAATATTTTCACAGTTAAGTAATAATAACCTAAAAACATTTTTTAAAAATATCATCCAGCATACTTTTTCCCACAAACTTTCTCTACTATTTTATGGTAACATTATCTTAAGGTCCAAATAGATAACATTTGAATTCACATGGAAAAATATGCTTCAATTTTGAAAATTCTAGAATGAAACATGGGAGAATAAATCGAACTATCCAAAGTCTTACCACAACAGATAAACAAAAAGAGCCAACCTGATTTGTCCTCTGAGTCGTCGAAGTCAACATTGAAGGAATGACCACTATTGCTGATGATTTTAGCTGAGGTAGGATCATACTTGATACTAAGAGGTCGGAGTGAGGAGTCATATTTCACTTCTTTGGTTTTAATCTCAATCGGAGACTGCTGGTCACCATCAGCAATGGGGAAAAATTCGTTCCAGTGAATAGGGCCTGATATGCATAGGACCAAAAGGAAAGGGCTAAGTAAGTTCTTCATTCAACAAGTTAAAGTTGATAACAAGCACTTAATTCATGCAGCACAAATGTTTGGGTCCTCTTCATCCACATGAATGTCAGGTGAGTGTGGTAGCTCACTTGTAATGCAGCACCGAGAAGGCAGAGACAGAGGGTGTCTGGAGCAAGCTGACTAGTTACACTAACTGAACTATGAACCTCTAGGTTCAGTGAGAGACTGTGCCTCAATGCATAAGGTGGCAGAGAACAAATGAGAATGGCAACCAAGGTCAATCTCTGGTCTCTACATGCACATGCAAATACACCCACATACAAGAAAACACTCATATACACAAGCAAGTCACCCATATACCCCCACCTCCCCCACCAAAAAAAGATTAGAAAAAGTAATATCCTCATTGTCAGGGCCCTGGTACCTATATTTTAACCAAGACTATTGTTTTGTGGGTATGGAAAGACTATTATTTGCTTTAAGTTGTTTTCAGAATTAAAATGTGCTTATAGGTAAAAGAATATTAACATTTCATAACATACTCCCCAAAGGTACCCAACTACCAAACTAAAACAAAAGTACAATTCATTGTTGCAAACAAAGAAATTCCATGTCAGAATCAAGAATGTGCCCTGGCTGCTCCAGAGGCCAGGAAATGTATGGAGTAGAGAGATGAAATGATGGTGTTAAGCATCAAACAAGGCAGTCATTCTAAAGATACTGCCTGTTAGTTTTTGCTTATTACACCACTCACAGATATCCTCAGGTATCACTCTGCTCAGCTCAATTACTTGTGATGTACAACTGGTCTACCCAACACCCACACAAATCTTTCACACAGAATAACCCAAATAAAATGGCTGTGCTGTGTCAATAAATACAGCATTGTTTCTCACATGGGTTTCTGAAAAAAAATAGCTGCAACATGAACACATGACAACACACCCTGTTCAATAGGTACCCTGTGAACCAGATACTTTGGGTCATAGCAATTTTGCATTAATAATCCTCAGAAGGCACTGTACAAAGGGCATTACATTTTCTTATTAGACCATTACACTTATCTTTCTGCATGAGTACTCTTTCTGCACACAATTCACTTTTCTTGTTTAATATAGAAAATCTTTCTATTTCATGGCCACCACATTTAATTAATCTAATGAGCACTAGATTTCAAATATTCGATGCATGCATCACAATGTGCAAACATTTTTACAACAGGTAAGGGGCTGTTTTCACTTCCTAATCATGTTCTTCATCAATTCCTAGTCATTCACAACCAGCGATGTTTATTGGGAAGTCAAAACTATGCAAGATAAAAAAAAAAAAAACTTGGATCAAATGGCCAATATTATCTATTCAATTGCATTATTGTATCTCTTAAAAGAGACCAGCCGTTGTACATTTTCTAGCACATTTAAATTGAAATCCACTTAAATGTCATTCTTAAATGAAAGACAGGTGGTTCCTCAGTGTTTTAGGGAATTTTTGAGTATCTATAGTGATATCTCATGTTTGGATATGTCACATGTCCTAAACCATTAAAAATGATCAGAGGTTAGTGGAAGAAGTGACAACTGCTTGGGGGCTGCGCAATCTGTCCAGAGTTCTGCTTTGGTTCCATTTCATCACTGCTCTCAACTCAAGATCCCCTTAATCTGCCCACTCAATGGTTTTGCCAATGACTAAATAATAAAAAGAATAAGGCTTGCTTAGTTAGGATGCAGCATATCCCAACAGAATTTTCCCAACAAAATCTACCTTCAAGGCATGGTCCTCTTAAAACCACTGTATCTAAAAGAGAAGAACCAGTCTACAAGACCCAGCTAGAATGTCAAATGGGGACTGGAGAGAAGGCTCAGCTGTTAGGAGCACATGTTCTTCTTGCCAGTTACCTGTGATGGCTCCCCATCATCTGTAACTCCAGTCCCAGGCAATCCAATGCCAGCTTCTAACTTCCTTAAGTACCAGGCATGTGTGTGGTGCACAAATATACATGAAACCCAAATACTAATAAACATTTTTAAAAAGAAAATGAATAAATCTTTTTTCAAATTAAAAATTGAATAAAATGTAAAAATGACTCCTTGCTAATGTCTTTTCTAAGATGAATTTTTAAGTTTTCTGGAGAAGAATTTTATTGAAAACAACACTTTCTACCTATAGGGTTCAATCAGCGCCTACTGGCTAGCACAACCTTATAACTCCAAATAACAATAAGAGTGATTCTATCAAAGACAAAAATGAAATGTGTGAAGACTGTCTTTCCAAAATACAAATTAGAAGATGCCGAAATATTAAGATTGCTATCGTGACTTCAGTCAAAAAGAAATGAAATTAGAAATTTCATCCTTAAAATTCTAAAGTTCATCCTGTGCCATTTTAAAAGTAGTAGTCATCACAGTCTCAAGCAAGCTACAATTAGAAATGAAAATTTTCCATCTAAGGCAGGGGGATGACCATGTCTAAGCTACAGAGTGGGACCCTGTCTTAACACAAAAAGGAAAAAATAAGATAAAAGAAAGGAAAAATTTCAGTAAATTTTGCATAAAATGTACTGTAGAATTCTATCCAATAATGTACATGCTGATTAAAGTTTTTAATATTATTTGCAAACTGCACTTTGACAGACTTCTGTCAATGCTTTCCCGGTATGTCTTTGCAATTCTTTTGAATAATTACTTGAAGTAATCAGTTCAATTAAATTGACCAACAAGAAAAAAATGTTTTATCGCTAATACATTTACGATATGAAGAAAAGTACCCATCTCATTGAGAAGCTTATCAATAAGTACACTTAGCGCCACGTTATGATTTCTATAATCATTTGCTAAGCCTTGGTCTCTGAAAGGGTAGGTATGGCACGAAAGAACAGTGAAGAACAAGCCCTAAGTAAGTTTCATGTCAGTATGCAAATTACAAGTTACTAAGATTTCTTCAACAAGTGACCAGTGCTCGTGCTGCCCTGAAGTTGTCCTTGTTTCCTCACAAGTCTGTCATCTGACTTCTGACCTCTCTGGCTTGTTCCAGGCAGTGGTGGGCTTTTTGA